TTTTTTTTGAAAAAAGAACATATTTTTATCTAGGTGTACCTTTCAAAGTAAAATATTCCATATTAATTGTCAAGTCTGTATTATCCTTTTTTTTTTTGCCAATGCCCCCCCCAACCAAAAAAAAAGAAATGGCTATAAATTTTTTAATGTTTGAAAAATTAGGGGCTACCATAATTTACTTGAAATATACACTAGGGAAAAAATAAACTAAAAAAATAATCATTCAATGCTCCTGGCAAATAAAAAGAATGGATGTTAATTTCCCAGCCTGTTTGTTTTTCTTGTCTAAGTTTATTGCAAAATGAATTGTTTCAGCATTAACGCTGTTGGTGCTGGGAGTGATTTCACAGGTTTTCTGCAGTTAGTAGGTGTCTCTTCCATGGACACTAGGTACACCTATAACACTGTAAGTTTATTGCTTTGAAAATGTAATGATGATGCCCAATGAACTTTCTTTAACATTTATTATCATTCATATAATGGAAAGTTGATTTGCTTGGTTAAGTAATGGTTGCAAAATTTCCTTTTTAATAAATTTTTTCTTCAACTATTTTATTTTTTTTTTTAATTTAAAAACTTGATTCTTTCTATTCAAATAACAAATACACATAGTACAATTTATATTAGTTATATTAATAATAATCTGATTATTATAGAAATATCATTATATATATGTATTCTTTCAGAATGAATGGAAAGTGTCTTCATATCCATTATACCATTCTGTTTATGAAACTTTCCATTTGATGAGCAAGCTTATAGACAGAGGGTTTCAGGTATGTAATCTGTTATTTAATGCATGTAATTACTAAAACAAAAAGAGCCTTAACCAGGGCCGGATTGAGACCGTCTTCTGGGTCTTCCAGAAGATGGTCAGGTTTTAAAATTTACATTGACAATATCTATTTTTTCTTCTGTTGGAAGACTGTCAAAAATGGAGGATGGGTCAACAAAGATAATTTGGAAGACTGTCAGAAAATATCTTGGGATCCGCCCCTGTTAACTGTGAAATTTATTGTTGGAATGGGGCAGAATATCACATATATGTAGCATCATTAGATATTTTATTGCAGAAGTTTTATTTATTTTCAGTACCATCTTGCTGTCTCTAGACTGTGGGGAGAAATAGCCAGATCACTGGCTGATTCTTTGATTATTCCACTTAATGTTGAAGATTATGCAGAGACAATTGTGCAGCTGAAAGAAAGCCTTGATGCAGGGTATGGACAGCTGATGAGGGACAATGGCTTAGGGGAGGGTTTATGTGAGTTTCTATCTTTATATATTATCATCAGTAGTAGCAGTGTTTTCTTGGGTATTTTTTATATTGTTATTTCATTTTTTAAATTTTTGTTTGTTTTTATTTTTGTGCGTTAAGAATGTTGAATTTTTGTTACACTTCTTTTGCAGCATATCTGGAAGATGCAGTGAGAAATTTCACAGATGTAGCCAAAGATTTCCAAAAGCGACTTTCAAAATTGGACAAAACAAGGTGAGTAAAAGAAGTCAAAGATGATTATTTTATTTATTATTCTTGCATTAAAATTATTTTTCATTTGTTTTTCTTATTGATGCATTTTAATTTTTGCTGACAGTGTTTAAGATTCCCATTACATAACTGTTACAAAGAATTGTAGTATGATAATAATGGCAGAATATACAAATCAAATATACAAATCATGTACCAAGGTTATTACAAAAAGTTTTCAACAACCTTTCAGTCCCTTGGCAGTACGAGCAATGAATGATCAACTGATGTATTTGGAAAGAGGTTTTATTGACTCAGCAGGACTGCCTGGCAGAAAATATTTCAAGTAAGTCAAGCTGTTTTACTCCAGAAACAGTTACCTGCGATGTTGAAATTATTTTCCATTATTTTAAGTGAAAAAAGGAATAAATTCAGTTTTGTCAATTATTAATGCATTTTGGAAGTTTATTCAGGTTATTTTCTCTTGATTTTTGTTTATAGGCATATTCTCTTTGCTCCAAGTAGCCATAACTCCTATGCTGGAGAAGCCTTTCCAGGTCTGGTCGATGCTATGTTTGAAATTGAAAAGACATCTTCAGCAGAGAAAACCAAAAGATGGGAAGAAGTTAGAAAGCATCTTTCTGTAGTAACCTTTACCATCATGTCAGCTACATCTACATTAGTAGACCACATCCAATTTTAATCTCTATTAAATGCTACAGCTTTCTTCTTGCTGTCCAAGCTCAAATGATTAGAAACAGTCATGTATATCACATGTCAAAGGGTAGAACATTTTAAAGCAGGAAATACAACATAGGTCATACAAAATTGATGAGATGGTAACGAGCAAGGTCTCTCTGTAAACATTGTCAGTAAGCATTTATAGAGGAGGAAATTTAATATCAAATTCAGAGTGAGCAATTTTAAAAGTATATAAAGAACAGCATATTATTTCTGTGGTCAGTTGTTAAATTTGCCAACTTACCAAACCAATACCCAGTGCAATTTTTCCATCTAAAAAGAGTGAAAAACAGTGCAAGAAGAAAATCTGATTAGCTCAAAATTAAGTGGTTGATTAAATGTATACTGTATGCATTTGAAAATTTACCAAAACCATATTTTCTATGGGTGCAGTCACAATGAAATCATTGTACAGTGTACTAGGTAGTTCGATCCAACTTCATGGGGACTCTCCTTGAATGCAATCAAATTAACAGATTAACACTCCTCCCCTTGTTTCCAATCACCTGTTTTTCTGCACTCTAAGGACGCATTCCCATAGATTTTAGATCGATCTATCCCTGTGGGGAGTCTCACTAGATTACTGTCAGATAATCCGGCTAAAATGTCCGCCCCACCTACTACAAGCTGTAAGGGGGTAATTAACTTTAGTGCCCGCTCAGCTGACAGCTATTTAGCGTGAACCCCCCAGGGAGTTAGGTCGATCTAGCTGGATCGATCTAATCTATGGGAATAGGTCTAAATGACTGAATAAAATATCAAATCCAAGTGCAGGGATGAGGGATAAACAATGCTTTTTAAATAGGAAAAAATTGGTTTTCCACTGATGAAAATTCATTTCAGCTGATTGATTGTGTATAGTTTGTATGTTTGTAATTTTTATTTAGCTGAACTTCTGTGAATTAAATACTGAACATCTGATGTATACTTTCTTATTAGCTTAACATTTAAATATACAATGTAAAAACTCTTACAGCCTCTTAAGGTCGAAAAGCATAACAATACTATTGAGCAATTCTTACTGTATTGGTAGTGCTATTTACTCATATACTGTGCATACTTGTGATTATATACATAAAGTTTAATCGTTGCCATGACTATATACCCTTGGCAAGAGAAAATGGCAGCAGTGCATTCTAAGTACTAAATAAAATTTATTTTGTCAAATGCTTGAACCCAGAAGTTTCAAAATATTTTATTAGTTTGAAATGTTTTAACCCTCAGTACAAGATGATAGAAATACAAAATAAATCTAACGAAGAATAAAGTACTGTGACAACGTTGTAGATAATTTGAATGGCTTACTTTTCTGACATTTCCTAGACTAATTTACAACGTGAACGTAAGACAACAGTGGCGCCGGCACTTTTGAAAATTGTACACACATCGGGCCCGTAGCAGACAATTTCAAAAGGGGGGTTCTTTTTTTGAAAAAGTGGACCTTTTCCCATAAAAACTTCATGTACCTAGATCAAATTTTACCCAGAGTGGACCTTTTCCCAGCAAAAGGGGCGGTTCTTTCGAACTCTCTGAACCCCCCTGGCTACGGGCCTGGAAATACAGCCAGGAAATAAGAGTCATTTAAAAAACAATAATGCTAGCAAGGTCTCATTAATTAATTTGGAGAAACATTTAATAGATCTTGAGTTGACAAGCCTAAATGGACATTTCCTATAAAGATGACTTTGTATGCTCTTTATTTATTTTATTTTACACCGTGATTTAGTTAAGCTTCATCCATGAAGTAAAGAGCATGAGGAGTTCCAAGTTGGCGATTTTAGTTTTAATTGTCTTTGCTATTCCAAATTATTGAAATGAGTTGCTCTGGGCACCACATGATTATATGAAAAGTCTAAGTAAGCAGGACCTGAAGAGGAGGGAGTCGGATGAAAAATAACAATAACATAAAAAGAAACACAATAAACGTTTAACGCCTGCCGATTACGCAATAGCGTAGACTTTAATTTCGAGAAAAATATTTTGCAACTAATTCCGCCAAAAAGATAAAGAAGACGGGTCACCTCTGCGTCAACATGTTCAAATAAAGGCTAAAAGTATATACCGTGAATTTTTTTTTTCAAAATAAGCCCATTTATTATTATCAGACATGTATTTTTCTTTATATTTTTATGGCACTCTTAATCGTTCCTTGAATTTTAAAGAGCGTCGAACTTGGGGTAATTGTACGACGCCGTGCAAATATCCCATGGTTATCTCATCTTTAAAACCGTTTTGACAATTTAGTGCACGTGTCGCAGGACAATCTTGTGTTGCCGCACGATCACCGTAAGCCCACCGAACAATGCTACTACTATCTCCCTTAGATCTTCTGGCTGTTACAACATTGAATAAATTCGTAATAGCTAGAATTAACCTCTGGTAGAGAGGGCAATGACGTAAGGGGGTTGTTCAATGGTATCTACGACATTGCTTACATTCTTACGATTTAAAAAGCTCCGTCAAATATTTCAGCTTGACAAATTTGTAGAGGCTACGGAGACCGTTAATACTGCCTCCACACGAACGCCGCACGAAAAGGAACACAAGAGCAATTTGCGGGTACCGCATAGACATCGCATGGCAATATTTTTTTTTGATAAAAAATGTTTAGTAAAAACAAAGTGTGTGTGGTTCGGGAACTGCATACAGTTTTCAAAAGTCTGCGGTGCCACTGTTTATACACATCTACTTTTTCACTTTTCTCAAAAGTTGATGACCCTCCTCCCTCCCTAAAGTTGCTGCTCCCTTTATAGAAAACCCTGTCTTTTGCGACGCCCAAAACCAAGCAAGATTTATCCATTCCATTATATTTTATAGAATTTTTGATACATCTCATTTTACATTATTCGACCGAAGTGAAGTAAGCAAAAATTTACCGGTCACCAAGCAAAGCGAAGAAGTATTAAATATTTTTGACATAACTACCTGCATTGTACACGTTTCATTTCGATTTATTTCAATTTACTCTTATACGTCACAATACTTGGGGGACATCATAAATCATTCTTACCATAATTTACATCGAACCCAGCCACTTTTAATCCTGTTATTCAGAGTTTTTTAAGAGAGGCCTTACACCTAGCTATGCCCAGATAGAACGAAATTAATGTGTTTTAACATATAAAATATATATTAAAATACATCTACGCTGTACTAGATTTCAAAATCGCTAAAAGGAAGGGGTAACGTACCGTCTACCAAGCCACAGATTGACTTTTCTCTACATACTCACAGATGTCTGTCGTTAAATTGACGGTAATTCGCTGCACGCGTCAGAGAAAAAGTACAAATAATATAATATAATATAATATAATATAATATAATATAATATATTATAATAATATAATATAATATAATATAATATAATATAATATAATATAATATAATATAATATAATATAATACGCGGCCCTGGAAGAGGTGAGTGTTACCATATGAATTTTGTGCTATTATATGTCCAGAGAGAGTGCATCGTTGGGCACATGTCTAATGCGTGGTTATGTATTGCAGCATGCCATGAAATTATTTCCATTATAAATGCGCCAAAGTACATTTTAATTTTGAGTTAGGCTAAAAAACAGTCTTATTTTGTCACTTTTCTTCCAAATTTTGACAAAAAGCAAAATGCAAAATGCAAAAAAAAAAAAAAAAAAAAAAAAAAAAAAAAAAAAAAAAAAAAAAAAAAATGGGGGGGGGGGGTTATCCCTTCAATTTTATGCCTGTTTTTGGAAGAGAATTTAACAACTAACGCAAATATACCCTTTACTTATGTCATGAGCCTCTTGTAAAATGTCGACTCAAAAAATGAGTCATGAAAAACTTGACTAAAGATTAAACTCTACCCGGTTGTGAGAGAAACAGCAGTGACATGTCGAGCAAACGTGACGTCTTTAGTGAAAATGCACCCCTCAATTAGCGGTTGAGTTATAATATAAAGAACATAACAAAAAGGGAAAGCATGCAAAGCAGTAACCTATTAGGTGACAGAAGAGACTATTTTGATCATATATAGCCTACACATGCAGGTACGCGCATACTTGCAGGTACCCGATACTACATGTAGTATGTCTCTTCTGACAAAACATAAAATGCATTTTGGAGCCAGCTAATCAATTTCAAAGTGCAGAAACAGGTCGAGCATTTATTCTTGAGTGAGAGAAAATTTATTTATTTCTTGACAAAAATTGCTTTGGCGTGAACATTATGGTTAATATTTATGAAAGTTTTTTAAAGTTGCATAACAATGACATATTTTTACGTTTAAAATCACTTTTTCTTTGAAAATTTTATGGCCATTTCACATCTCAAATGAAAAAAAAAAAAAATGAAGAGGTTCATATTTGGGAACATTCAATAAACCAGTCGGAAATCATCCTCACAGTGGGGAAGCGCTAAATAATGTCCTTTCCACATTTTTCTTTAGCACACCATATAAAAGAACATAACAAAAAGGGAAAGCATGCAAAGCAGTAACCTATTAGGTGACAGAAGAGACTATTTTGATCATATATAGCCTACACATGCAGGTACGCGCATACTTGCAGGTACCCGATACTACATGTAGTATGTCTCTTCTGACAAAACATAAAATGCATTTTGGAGCCAGCTAATCAATTTCAAAGTGCAGAAACAGGTCGAGCATTTATTCTTGAGTGACATATAACAATGACATATTTTTACGTTTAAAATCACTTTTTCTTTGAAAATTTTATGGCCATTTCACATCTCAAATGAAAAAAAAAAAATGAAGAGGTTCATATTTGGGAACATTCAATAAACCAGTCGGAAATCATCCTCACAGTGGGGAAGCGCTAAATAATGTCCTTTCCACATTTTTCTTTAGCACACCAGTTTTTGAGCCTGTCTACATTTGCATAAGACAGTCACGGAGGCTACACGCTCGACCCAGACGGATCTATTTTTGGATTGGTACATTGGGGATGGTGAAAGGGAATAAAAACGTAGCATAATTATATATTAGGACCAGTCAAACTGGTGCAATACAGAAAAATTTACCACTCGGAGACCACACACACTGAACGAGAAGCTTCACCTCGAAATAGTCCCATCTTGCAGAGCGCCACCATATATCCCGAGATGCAATCTGCGCCACGTCTTCAGCGGCCATCTTAGAACGTGGACAAGCAGTAGACGGATCAAAATGAACATTTTCAGGCTCGTCGGGGACTTATCCCATTTATTGGCAATATTCGTATTGCTTTTGAAGATATGGAAATCCCGGTCGTGTGCAGGTAAGTTTCTGAAGTAACGAACTGCACAAAGAAACTATGCCACGTCAGCCGGCAAATTAGTGCACGGCAGTGTAGGTGACAGAAGACGAAGTCACTAAGCACCATAATGTCTTCAGTCAATAACTAAGAAACAAATGCTTTATTTCTGCTGCTCAGACTTAAGAGTGTTGATTTGCAACGGGCATTTTTTACCTTCCCTTTATAAATGACGCAAGAATGTCTTCATTGGCATAGTGGAATCAACCGAAATGACATTCTGACATAACTATCGGTTTACTCCTTTGGCGGTTCACTACTTAGCCATGTATAGAGATGTTTATTTTCCAGTATCATATACGCTGATATTGTTGAGCAGTATGTGTGTTTATTTTGATATGGAAGCCTTGTTGTTTACAACAAGAGGGCAGTGTTGATGACGGTGGTAGTTTTTGCCTAGACCAGCAAATATATATTATTGAATAAGTTAAACAAATCATTAACTCATATGTTGTCAAACCCCATGTTATATAATAATGCTCTGAAATGACAGGCTAGTTACCTAGGTAAAACCATTTGTGGCACAGCACAGAGCTCTTTCCCAAAGGAAGCACTTAATTAAGTGAGTGCTCTGATGATGTGGCAACTGGAGAGGGTTAGCAGTAGCATTCAGTGAAATAAAAGCCCTCATGTTTTTGAAGAGGGAAATGGTTTTTTGTATACAGTTATATTGGTTCATAAGAAAAAAAGTATTTTAGTTGTCAAGTACATAGGTTTGTTTGTCAAGACGTAGCACAACAAGACAAAATTGTTTGATATCTGTGAACATTAAGGGGCCCGCACACGGTGAGCATTTGGCGCGCGCCACTTGCGCTGCGCCGTTTTCTCATCGTGTGCGGGGGTATTTTGGTGAGATTTTTGCCTCACGCGCGGCTGAGCAAAATTTCTCACGTGTTTGATTTTTTTTGTCTCTTGAGGCAAATGTCTCAGCGTGTGCAGGGTGCAAGCGCCGATTGCTCACGCCATGCTAACAATGCGCATGTGCCAGTAGCCGGAAACAAACAAAAATGGCAGCCCCCAGCGAAGTCAACAAAAATGTACACAGTTATAGTTAGTCTGATTGATTAACGTGGTCACCATTATCCATTACTATCAGAAAAAACAACAATATGTAATGTTTCCTTAAACACATGATCTCACAGTTCACAGTGCGTCCGCTAGGGGCAGGCCGGGAGGCACCTCTGCTGAGCAAAGAGCGCATCGTTTGCAGGGAGCTGAGAAGCGCGAGCATCTGGCGCAACGCAAGTGGCGCGCCGAATGCTCACCGTGTGCGGGCCCCTTTACCAGATCCAGACAGGACGGAAGCCCTTTCGCTGGCATCCTTCAAGAGTTAATTTTTATAGAAACATCTGACATGGCAAACAAAGTGAAGGGGATTTAAATCTGACCTGTCCTATACCCCTTTCCTCAACTAAAATAAAGATCTGTAAGTGAACTAAGAAACTAGGAAGTCGAGCTGTGATAACACCAGTTTTAATTGATACATTTTACTAGCATACAGTTGATGTATTAAGCTGTGCCCTAGTTGTGGATGTTTATATAGTAAATTATTCTCAGTTGCATATATTATAATAAGTATTTTTGTATGTTCTTTTTGTCACACTTACACATTTTGCCAAGTGGTAAAATGAGAAGAAATTAAACTGATTTAAAAAGGCATGCCACTCATCCATAATAATGACATGACTCAAGAGGTTGCTGTTCCTAGAACTTATCCAGTTCTGCTAAGCTGCATGTGTCATTGAATTAATGAGATGAAACTATAATATTAGCACATATTTAAGTATCTTCATGTCTGAATAATAATTACTATAAGATGGCAGTTGTGTGTATTATAATTTTTCCACCTGTATGGTTCAGGTTTTTGCTTTTTTTTGTCGTTGTAACAGGCTTACATTATACAAAACTGTTTTTAAAACTTTTTAATGTCCTCAACAAAAGCTTCTTTAAAAAGATGTTTTTTCTTTTCATTTACATAAATATTCAACTATATAAATTTTACCATTTATGATATTTTATTATTCCAGGTGTTTCTGGCAAAAGTCAGATCCTGTTTGCCTTGGTCTTCATCACAAGGTACTTGGATTTGTTTACCAACTTCATCTCTGTGTACAACAGTTTGATGAAGGTCATTTTCATTGCATCGACTGTTGCCACCGTGTACCTCATGTACATCAAGTTCAAGGCCACCTATGACAGCAACCACGATACATTCAGGATAGAGTTCCTGGTGGTGCCTGTGGGAGGACTGGCATTTTTGGTCAACCATGATTTCACCCCACTGGAAGTAAGTGTGAAGAAAACATAGAAGCAACGATAATCCCCTTGACTAATTCACATACATACTGATATGTTGAATAGGTGTTGTCCCTTAATTACCTATCAAAGATATTCAAGTGATCTAGTTGTGACTATCTTCTTGGCTTTATTTTCAGATTTTGTGGACTTTCTCAATTTACCTAGAATCTGTGGCTATCCTCCCTCAGTTGTTTATGATCAGCAAAACTGGTGAAGCCGAGACCATCACCAGCCACTATTTGTTTGCCTTGGGTTCCTACAGAGCACTGTACCTTCTCAACTGGATCTACCGCTATTACTTTGAGGGCTATTTTGACCTCATCGCAGTGGTGGCTGGATGTGTGCAAACAATACTCTACTGTGATTTCTTTTATCTGTATATAACAAAAGGTAATTCTTTTGTGTTTGGTTTTGGGAATAGTAACAGGTATATAAAATTGCATTGTCTATATAGTAGTTAAGAATTCTTCGTGTATGCCATTTTATTTAATAGGTTTAGGTATACATTGTCCCTAATTACTATGTACATGATATAAAGCTTTTAATTAGTAGGAATTAAATTAAAAGGGAAATGAGACGAATGTGCTAACCCTGTAGTGCATACTGAATGTGTGTGAATTTGCATGCTTGTGATAATTTGGTGGAAAAAAGTTGTCTTTGTACCATACAAAGTGAGATGATTTCATATTGTTTTTCATTTTCAGTTATGTGGGGAAAGAAACTAAGCTTACCAGCATAACCACTTCAGTAGGACACAGTAACTGTTTAAAGCACTCAAGTTGATGTCAATTTATATATACGTAATCAAATGCAGGAGGACAGCTCATAATATTCAGGTCAATTGTGGATGATAGGATGAGGCAAGGCAGAATGAATGAAGATACAATCCTGGACATTACCTGCGACTTTTAACGATTCACAACTACCTAAATCTTCCATTAACAATGTTTTGTAAACAAAAAGTTTTCTTTTCATTAGTCATGTTTACTAGAAATGTCACTTAGTTTTACATTTTTCTGAAAGAACCCATGGAAAGGTGTAAACTTGGAAAAAAAAATATTCAAAGAACTGCTACACCAGTAATTCAAAATCTGTTGGACATGTTCAGATGATGCTGGATACTTGCAACAAATGTTCTTTTATCTCGGTCTGAATATTGGCCCCTTTGGTTGAAAACAAATATTCTTCTCATTTAAATGAAATATTTTTAGAATGGAAATCCAGAGCTGGGATGTCCTGAATATTGTTGGTGCTGTGTGCGTAAGGTGTACCATGTGGCTTTCAGGGCATCTAGAACCCAGTAAAATGCTTCACACGATTAGTACATAGAGTACATTAGTACATGTGAAGAGGTGATCTTTCAGTCGGGAAGACATGGTATGCTTTGACGTGTTATTTTGGTCAAGATGGTGGGTCCGACGTTGCTTTAAAATGAAAAGTAGTTCATGTTGACACACTTACTAGGTGTAAATAAGTTTCTGTAAGGGGTCAAGGCTGTTTGTTCAAGATTATGCTTTATAAAGATGGTGTTAATGTTAAGATGCTAGTTTTTTACGTGTAGGTATTTCTATTCGTCTGTATACAAAGTCACTTAAAACAGCATTTTAAACATGCCTTGTAAAATGTAGAAATAATATATCAGAGAAATTTTGATATTTATTCATGGCTTGAGGTAATTCTGTTATTTGACATGGCATGTGTTGTTAAAAATGTCTAACTTCAAGCATGGTTATGCGATCACAGTGATGGATGTTTAACAGAAATGTTAGTTTCTTTGAAATTTATCAGAGTTGGCCTTTATCAAGTCAATAAATACATACACTATATATATATATATATATACATAAAATCGTCTTTTTATTTCAATGATAAGGGTTTTCATGTCATGCAGAGGTATTTCGAGAAATACTTCATTCTGCTCAAACTCGTTATCAATATCTTCACCAGTTTTTTGTTACCTCGATCAAACCTGCAGTCTATGGTCATCAAGTGCTTTTTTTTTTCTGATTAAACAAGAAGTAAAGATTGGCCTTAACAGGCCACTAAATTGAGTTATTAATACAACCTGTAAAATGTAAAAAGTCATCAATAAACAAACCATTAGTGAGTAACAGAACTTCCAACTCCCCATCTCTGATGTTTACGTATTAATGAATGCTTTAAGTCATCCAACCAGTCTATGGAACTGGAACAAGTCGCATTATATGCAAAAGGATATTTCTTGATGACAAAACCATTTCAGTTAGCCTTGTTACAAAACGGTTGATTCAAATGAATACTGGATCCAGTCTGAGGCTCTGTACAAGTTGCTAACTTCCTTAATGTTTCTCACTGAGATTTCATTTCCAGAGATAGTCTAATATGTTTCCAATATTTTAACTAGGCACCAATTCACATCACTTAAATGTAGTTGGTCCTAAAAAAAAAAAATAATAAAAAGAGCATTATTATGATTACTTTGTCTTGGAATTGTGTGTGCAAGTTAAACAGTCAATTTGATACAACTTTTAAAAATAATTTTTGCCAATTAAATACATTTTAAAACCAAAAAAATATGACGAGCAATATGACTTTAAATACATAAATTATTACCAATAATTTCAAACAAGTGTCACCTTCAATGACGTGTCCCTAGACCTCAGTGAAACCACGCCATTAATAAAGGTCTTCTCATCAATGATAACACAATAAGGTATACCGCTCTCGTCCATTCTATAACAAAAAACGGTTGACCAATAAGTTTGACATTGAATAACATAATTTTGATAGAAAAAAAAAAAATGTTGCAGTCATATTTGTCACAATACCACATTTTAACTCTGCTATAACTGATATAGTTTTTTTCACAATTATTCTCGTTTAAAAAAAGGAGAGTATTTGGGATTGTGGTACTTAAGTTACACATGAAATACATCTCCATGTTTGTATTTGAAGACAAAGCATGCTGTGTTGGGCTGTTACTGGCTTTGTCAGTAAAACTGAAATAATGCTTTAAATTATATAAATATTTCCTATTGAAATTGGTTGTGATTGAACTGTTCAGTAAATCACCAATGAACCATTCTTAACAAATTAATGTTAAAGATGAACTGGAAGGCGATTTTTTGTCACAAAAGCTGACCAAATGCCACCATGTAGTATCAAATAGCATAACATAAAGAAATACCAAAAGGCATTGTTTCAAAAAAAATTTTTTTTTTTTGCAAACCATCTGGCCATCATAGAAAAAGTGGAAAATGGATGTCTAAATGACTGCTGCACAGAATTTCTGGAAAAAGGTTTGTGAGTTAAAATAATATGGGTATTTGGATGCAAATTCTGAGAGCCTAGGTTGGTTACCATATTGGTGACAATAAGGCAACCCTGAAAATAAGTTATTTCTGTTTTAGACCTCCCCTTAGTTCCTTTTTCCCCAACTTGAATCCTATTCTTCGTAGTTCATGAGACTCAGAGAGCTCTATTTGTCTAATGTATCATTCCTATAGATAGATAAGTGAGAACACTAATGTGACATACAAGGTTCTTTCTTTCAAAACAAAGCATTATTTACTTTGTGTAGATACTGTCAAGAGTAGATTCCTTCAGGTGGAGCGCCATGATGCCACTTTCACTCAATAATAGGCCAACATAATCTGCAACTTCTCTCATTTCTGAGGTTGAATGGTCTTGGGAGTGTACAGTTGCCACAGCCACTTTATATGGAGCTAACCTTGGATGTAAATGAATGACCTGAAACAACATGACATATTTCAAGGATAAGAGAGAGAGAGAGAGAGAGAGAGAATAATAGTTTTCACTCCATTATATGTTGTCTGGCTTATTTTCAGTGAAAAGACAAAACGGATATTTGTCATATTTCAAAGGCAAACTACTTTTTTCACAATTTTTCAGACAGATTAAAAATGAACCCCCTTGAAAAAACTAATGACACTGCTTTGAAAAAAATGGCAGATTTCATTTGAATATTTGTATTTTAACATGATAACAAACAGTCTCTCTCTCTCTGCTTACTTTCTTCATTTCCTTAGTGTCACTGTTTTTCACACCTTCTTCATAAGAATCCACAAGATACGCTAACATTGCCTGCTCTAGAATTGTGGAAGATTCTATCAATTGTGGAACCACTGACTTCTTTCCTGTTGTTACCTGATAAACAGAAACATCACATGACAAAAGATGGACCAAGAAAAAATAAGGAAATAACCACAAAAATTTAAAAGACAAAGATGTTAGTCTGACTTTAGTGTTTACAATAACTTTTCTTGCCATGCTTTCTTTTTGAACTAATTTTCTTTTAACCATTTGCTTTGTCAAATTAATGTAGCCAAAGTAAAGCATGGTGAATAAAAAGAAGTAAACTTTTTTCTTTGAAATTGAAAATTTTTTTCAACCTGTGATAAAGTGTCAAGCTCCCCGATTGTTTCTACTCTTTTCACTGTGATGGTTTCAACATTATCAAGTCCCCAAGGAAATGCAAACTTTATACAAATTTGTTGTTGGTGCAAATCTTCGTTTTCTTCCTCGTCAGCAGTAATAAAATTTGGTGGGTATTTAGAAAACTACAAAAATAAATAAATAATCCAAATGACATACATCATTCTTATGCATGAAATATGCACATTCTTGTCACAGAGTATGCCTGTTAAATAGCCCAAAACTGTGTTTGCCAGACAAATATAAATTAAATGCTTACAAAAAAGAAATCCAAACCTTTACTTATGTAAGAAAAACATACTTGAAACTATGCAAAATTGCTCAAATGATATTTGTCTCAGGATATTATGTATCAAGAAGTCAACTATGTACCGTTCTCCACCAGTTTAACCTCTCCTGTACCCAATAGCCAAACCACTTGTTTGTGTCCTTTGGAGACACAAAGTATTGTAAGAGTAGCTGAGTAAATACTGAACTTCTGCAAAAAAAAAAAAAAAAAAAAAAAAAACTGAATTACTTACTGAAACACATAACTTCATCAATGTTTATCGCAAGATAACATCCTTATCTATGAGATAAAAAAACAAGATTTCTTTATGTAACTATCTTATTCTCACAACAGCTATCAAAATGATATTAATATGACACAGACCAATGGTACAGTAGTATATAATATACTGTTTAATTTTAAAACTCATTTCTTTAATTCTCCAATTATCAAATATGTAAACTTATACTTTGAGGGCATACTTACTGGTATATAAATTTTGACTGATCTATGTTTTCTCTAGTGAAACACTTTCCACACTGAACAATGCCAAGGGGAAGTCTGTGATTCATCTCACTGAAGACATATGGATACCACAATAAGGTCCCTAATGATAAGACAAAATTGTACTCTTTCTCATGCAGATTTAATGTTATACACCATACAAAAGTATTTTCAAAGTCCTGCAAAGTCTTAAAAATTAGAGGCCTGGACAAAAAATCTTTATGTTAAGAAATCTCTTATCAGTAAACAGAATACTTCTCGTAAAAAACAGTGAGGTTGTAATTCTTACCTTTGGCCAGTGATGGTGGTAAAAATAAGGGATTTTCTTTGTCCATTCTGAAAATGTCAACCATACATGTACATATTACACAAAAATCATACAAAAATGTTGCATTGATAGGTCAGATTCACACAGTTTAGGTTTAAATACATTTCCCTATATATTACACCACATGGTAATTCAAGAGTGGCAGACATTACTAAATTTGCAAAGCCAGCATTTTTGCATCTTAAGAAATACTATATATAAGACTAAAATTCATTTACATATTGCATACAGAGGGTTTCTTTTTCGTTTATACAAAAGCATATCTTTGCAAATGTGTCCCAAAAACTAACCCTCCAAACAACCTTTTTTTATATATACTCTGAAGTGCCGAATAATAGTGCCTACTGAAATAATTGTGCCCCCGGAAAAACTTTCAGAAACTAATAATAGTGCCTAGCAGAATAATTGTGCCCCCTGGAAAAATTCCCAATATTTAATAATAGTGCCTAGCGGAATAATTGTGCCCCCGACACCCACCCCCCCGGAAAATTTTATCAAATTTAATAATTTCAATAAATAATTGCAATGGCAATTTCAAATTGTATTTCAATCTGGAAAAATTATGTTTTGACTATTAAACATAACAAAAACACAATATCTAGACAAATTTACCTTTGATTTTATACATGTAGTTTAACATATTTTAACCATTTAGAGTTTGCCAACTTAACTGTTTTTAAGGTCAAACCATTTTCAAAGCGACTCCCGCTACTAGTTATACGTAGTTTGGGATGTAATTTATAATCAACAACTTCAAACACCGTGAAATAAATTCTTCAGAATTAAAGAGAGAAAAAATCACACTTATCATCAATTTGAGTTCTTCGTTTGTTCATTTATATGGTTCTATTCAGTTATGGAAATTCATATCCAATGCATAGGTTTCTATGCGAAATACTGACTTAACCCAGTTTTACAACGCTACTGCTTTCACAAAACTTACCCGTAAATCAATAGAAAATCTTCTTATAAAATCAACAAAGTGCACTTTATTTGCTCTATTTTTATCAGTGAATATACGTAAACTATAAAAACACAACAGGCGGTCTGAATTTCGGAACATGACAAAGTGACAGAGAAAGTGTATTTGTGACACGTGACTAAATGTTGTCGAGAACAGTTGCCTCATTTCGTTCTGTCTCGTATACTTTAAATAAGGCACAGAACTGCGAAAACAAGGCGCTCACAGGGAGATAATAACTGCTGGTTATTTTAAGGCACACGTGCATGCGTATTTCCGTTACTACTAAACCAAGTGCTCAGAAGCATGGGATTACGTACAGTATGTAAACAGAATGCCATATTTGCTTAGAAATAAATATAATTTTCAGTTAGCATGAGTGAAAATATACGTTGTTGTTCCATTCAGCCCAGCGAGGCGGTGCTTTTGACAAATTTCAGTGAGGCGCTTGCAAATTTAAATGCAGTGGAAACACTGACTTTTATTTACGCTAAAAAAAAGTTCGAATGTACCGAGTAGTGCGACAGGTCATTAATAAAAATTAACTTGTCCCATCATTAATATTTTCGAAACGTTCAACAGTATTTCCAACCGGCACAGTGACTGCCAAATAATTGTGCCGTGTGGATAATGTGGGGAAAATTATTAATCATGCCGGGGAAAATAAGATTGTGCCGGGTGGAAAATTTCCGGGAAAAAAATAATCGTGCTAGCACTATTATTTGGCACTTCAGAGTAAAAATCTACTGTTTACGTTTAGTAGCATATTATTTCTTGTTAATATCAGTCTTCTTGTTAATATGTAAGTGGTAATTTTCCCAACAAATGTCATGGATTTTCATGTTGACCACATATTTAACTTTTCATGAAAAATGATACTACTCAAAGCAAATGATTAAGAGTCATCTTAAATAAACTTACTTATTCTTAACAATCTTTTTATGAACAAAGGTGTCTTAACTTTCCACTTAAAAGACAAGGACAATGTCAACATTATTATGTTTCAATATTTATTCTTCTTCCATAATTACAGTAAATTGTTAAATAATTATTCCACTGTCTAAATTCTGTCTTTACCAAATTAGCTGTCAAAAATGGCTACATCGTATTACAAAATGATGGGAATTATATATTATTTTAATTATATTATTTAGTTATAATTTACTGATACAATTCATACCAATAAAAACAGGGGCAGATTGAGGCCATCTTCTGGGTCTTTGAGAAGATGGTCAGATTTTCAAGTTAACATTGCCAGGTATCTAATTTTTTTCTGTCGGAAGACGGTCAAAAATGGAGGATGGATCAAGATAATTTCGAAAACTGTCAGAAAATATTTCTGGAACCACCCCTGACAAAACATCTAGTAATTGCATAGCATCAATAAATATCTAACTATTTATGTATTTGAAAATTGTTATTCTATTAACTTCAAATATATATAACAGACAGTCAGATGATTGCTCAATCTCCGATTCTGTCTGCAGTTGGTGGTACAAGATCTCCTTTTGTATTGTGGAATAACACCAAGATATCAAGACCAGGGCCCCCTAACTCAAAAGCATCGCGACATTGCAAATAGCAATATCACATAGATGCTACAGTGTATTATATGGGGCGAGTATGGGCGAGTTATGGAATCGAGACGCTTGCGCTCGGTCACAATGCGCGATCCTTTCGAGTTACAGGGCCCAGATGGAAATCAGGTGATGCTACTATACATACCCTATAGGAACACTATCTGGACAGGAGGTCTGGGCAGTATTGATTACAGGGTAAATACTTGGTTTGTTTAACACCACTGAATCCCACCTGAAAAAAAGTGAATTGAAATATACATCATGTTAAATCATGTTATTGTCAAATGGCATTATCGATATTAGCACGGAATACTTGCCTTAGCACTCCTATTGACGATTTTGATATGGACGCTGTGCTAACACAAAAATCGTCAATAGGAGTGCTAACGCATTAATTTCGTGCAATATCAATATCAATGACAACCTGCAATTTAAACTGGCATTTTAAATTACTGGTAACATTCCACTGCCTATGACAATGTTTACGTCGGTTATATAAAAATCGTTAGTACATTATACAGACAAAACGCATTGTGGTTTTCTCTAGAAATAAATAACTTCAGCGCAATTTTCAATACTGTATAATTATTACACAGTGATCAATGACAGTAACGACAAGTACATGTGCTGAAAGTGAAAATGCAACTTTCATAAGCATTGCAAATCAAAGCAGGGTAACATTGATTAATGGCAATACTTACCATTCCTTCAGTATATTACTACTAAATGCTGCACCCATAGGCCCAAAGTCATAGCATGTGAGCAAGGAACCATTTACCCTGCTTTCAACGGGGAATACAAAACCATGCTTCGTGCATAGTTTTGCGATCTTTTCCAGCATGGTCAAAAGTCTCCCTCTCTTTGTAAATCAGTCTCGTTTTGGCACTTTTATTTTCAACACTGATAGCGAGGCATTCTCTCCAAATGCAGTTTGTACTGATCATTCTGATTAGTCCGTAGTGACCTCTCTTAAAATTTTGTCCAATTGTAAGGACCGATTGATCAGGACTATAGAAAGCGGGTAAGGTCAATCAAATTAGGGCGAGGGGTTTGTTGACATTTAAGTCAAGTGTGTGATTTTTTTCCGAAATGCCGGGGCTGGTGGCATTTGGTCGACGGTGGGGCATTGGCAGTGACGACCTTTTCCTTCCAGCTGTCATTGAACTCTTAGTTAGATTGAGTTGGTGAGTAATTATCCGTTAAAACAACCACTTTTTATTTATAATATTAACGAAGTTTCAATATTGGAAATAAGAATTGAACTCTGATTTATTAAGTTAATGTTGGTTTGAATGGCAATATCCAGACCCAAACCATTTCACGTTTCCTTTGCAGTGTCATTTCATTATGATATCATGTTTTAGATCTATATTTGGTTGGAGCTTCAAGATATCGGTGACACACGCACGTTCACACATTATTCATGGACTTTAAAAAGGGGCTTTACCAAGTTTTGTTTTACTTTATACTGCATGGGTACAGATATAAAGTACATGTGGACATATAGTAATTTAAAGGTCAGATGCGTATTTTTTCAATGATTTATTGCTATATCTAATTAAAATTAAATGAAGATGACTTGTAGATGAACCACAGGGCTTAATTTATTTTGTGGTTATTAAAATTCCTATTACTGTACTTCCAGGTTAATTCCAATTGCTGCAGTTTTTGCTTGGCATCACAGTGTTGTGGAAGAGTGCAATGGCAAAGAAATTCTCAAAATCTTCTACATTGGTGTATTGACAATAATATGCTGCCATGTTGTCCTCGTGCTGGGCACAGGCTACTTGTCAACGAGGGGCACAATTCTCAATATTCGCCCAAGGCGACACATCACCAAATTCCTATATTTGAGAGTTGCTCTGTTTTTTCCGGAGTTAGTTTGGAACATATTGGGGGCAATATGGGCATTTGATGAATCTTTAGACTGTGATACACATGTTGTGTGGACAGTGAAAGGGGTTGTAATTTCAATGTGGGTTTTGCTTCTGGGAGTTTTTATAGGGCTATTGATTGTGTTTGATCCCCTTGGGAAGAAGCCTGTGACAGTTGACACACCAAGTAACAGTCCCCAAGGACAGGGGGACATTGAACAGATAGAGAGTGGAGACAGAGACCAGGTGCTCAGTGGACTATCTACTGCCACTTCTAGAGTGTGGAGAAACAGGTAGGTGCACATACCCAGGACTGCTTAGTTCCTGAGTCCTTTTAGTTAAATTATATTAATTCTTAAGACATTGTGTAATTGATTAAATTTTGTGTATGAAATTAGATTTATTAAGTGCATATAGCCACTTAATGATAATATGATAAAAATGGTGAATCTGCTTATAAACCAGGTTTACAATTTTGTCTTTGAAAATTCCATATAGGATTTTTAGTACTGAATTACTTACATTGTCTGTTCCTTGGTCATAAAATGAATGTACCTGATGGTGTCTGAATATTTACTGGTATAAAGTTGCACCTGGATCTCATTTCATAGGGCTGTTATAGGGCTGTTACATTGTACGTACATAAATGCTGGTACATGTTGTGAAGGATTTACTGATTCATCATTCTGCTGTTGGAATTGCATGTATACATATATTATTTGAACCGAACAACCATATACTAGTTCTGCTGATAACTATCCTGCTGGCAAATATATGTCTCACTGTGTATGAAATTCATACCAAGAAGATTGAAAGAATATGCAAATATTTGCATTTGATGATAATTGGTATATATCCATATCATCCATAGATTGTTTGGACGAAGATTCTATATAACTTAAACCATGGAGTAAATAATCAAAAAGTCAGTGCCACAAACTTTATTCATCCCATTGCTGGATTTTAAGCTGTTGGTACATGTATAAACCTCATACCAAAAGAATTCTAACACACCTAATTTTACCACATCAACTATGATAAGATTGGATGTTGCCATATTGGACAATGTGTGCATATATTTATTTACATTGCTTAGATAATCATACTATTCTTAGTCAATTTTCACATTTCATTATCTGTTCAGGGACTATAGGTTAATGTTATAGTACACCAGGATAGATAAAAAACAACTACATCTGTCCATAATTAATAAATGCATAATGAATATATTTGTTTATGACTATCATTATAAAATTTTTGTGAGATGATATAATAATGATTGGCAGGTCATGATTCTCTGTGATTTAAAGCAGTTTATATTATTGTTAAGTTAAGTTAATTTTTTTTTTTGTATTTTTCATAGTGCAACAGTGAAGCATAGATCTACAATACAACTTGTTTACTTAAAGTAAAATTTTAAGTGGATATAACATTATTATTAATATTTTTTTTATTTTCAGAATGAGAGTGCTCTGCTGTTGTGTAGGCTGTGATGAAAATAGCAGGGAAGCATTCACTGAAATTGGAAATTTGTTTTCTGGGTTCTTTCAGGTACATTTTTTTTCGTTTTTCAAATTGTACATATCCTCTTTGAATATTAACAAAAATATTGTCCTTTATTTTTGAATTTTATTTTCAAATCTTTAAAGTGACTGAATCAGATATGTTAAATGATTGTTTTCTCCTTCAGAATATTGACCTTGTGCCCACTGACATAGCAGCAGGATTGGTGCTGCTCCAAATGCAGCAAGAGCAAGAGGACCTCAGAACCAGCTCTGTGTCTAGCTCCCCAAGGGAGCCAACAGATGGTGAAAGTGACTCATCTTCCCAAGATAGGACATTCCTTAGTCAGCATGATTCTTCGTCTCGGAAAGAACTTGTGTCTCCCAACAGCATACCAAAAGATTGGATGACTATAGACTTAATGGCACATTATATAAAGTTTGCTCTTGCCAGTTATGGATGGCCCCTTTATATGTTTACTCATCTTTTTACTGGACTCTGCCATCTTGGGGCAGCTTGGAGGTAAGCTGAGAGGCTTTCAAAAGTGTGCTGTTTTGTTGCTATTATGGTCGATGAGATTGAGGTTTGAGAAAAAAGATGGAACCTTCATATTTGTGGCATGTATAATAATTGTATATCAATTGCATTTCCTAGCATATTTTATCCTTTTTTTTTCACAATGCATGATAGTCAAATTATGGGTTGATAATTGAACTGTTCTATATATTATTATAAGCTGTGCAACCACTTAAGTTGGGTACCTCTTTAGTAATAATTAGGCAGCTTATGTAAAAAGCAATGCCCTTTCGAATATTTTTGAGAAAAAATTTACAAGACAAAATACAAAATCTAGTTCACTGGCAATTATAACCATTAAAAATCTTTATGACAAAGGCAGGAGAATGAGGACCAATTTCTTTTAATTTTCTGAGTTCTTTGACTTTATATTAAATAAAAAAAAACCTCTGACCCTTTTTAAGTGTCACTTTTTATATCTATACAATTTTTAAAAAATCATTGAATATCCAAAATTATATTACATATCAGTTTACACCTAGATCTAATTTTATATTCTTTAATGTGAACAAAAATTCTGTTTTTCTGAAGTGATGAGTGTGATAATTTTTTGCAGCCTTCAGGATAGGCAAAACATTAATCTAATAACTGAGGAATGCTGTATTACATCACGCAATCTGTTATCTGACGAATCAGGCGTAATGTGAGTTTTGAAAACATAGGGAATGTTTTCAGGTAGAAAATAAAAATTAGTATTGATAGGATCTCTAAAATTCCAAGCATTTCCAGTAAAGTAAGTGAAAAAATGCCAAACTAAAAGCACAATTGTTTGTTAAAGATTTAGTCCTTCCCCCTTGCCTGTAACATTTTTCTCATCATTTCGTGTTGTATAGTATCCAGTAATTTTTTCCTGCCATGTGAAATATTTGGAATTTTAGAGATACAAACCCCTTTTTACATTAACTTTCCTTGGCTTAGATTTGCTCATGCCTTCACTGTCATAGGACCGACTACTAATATAGCAAGGGTTATAGAATTAGATTTAGTTTGCCATCCAGTTGTCTTATGCCTATCAATTCGTCCTCTCCCCCCCCCCCCCCAAGTGTGCTAGCAAACCTTGAAGGAAAGTTGATGTGTTTTCTTATATTCATTAGAATATCTAAATCTGTCTTATTTTTTCAAGTTTTGAATTCAATTTTGGTTCATAATTTAATGATGATATGGGAAGAAGGCAGTATATTGGTTTGGTTCTGCTTCTGTGGTTGGTTGACATATTTTGCTGCATCTTTTAGAATTTTGTGGTTTACCTTGAAGAGTAAAATATTTGCATATTATAACTTTGCTTCATATGTATGTATGTATGTATGTATGCATGTATGGCAATAGAGGATTGTATATTTTTACAGATACTGTATTTTAAAAGGTACTAGTAACTCCATCGGTTTTACCCACTAAAATGGTTTTTCCTGGGAAAATTAGCACTTGTTTTCATGGATCATTTCATAATTTATCTGTCTCTCTCAGCACTTGGATTCTACCTTAAATTAAATTTATAAATCTGTGACCATCGTCCTGAGTTCCAGTGGAATTATCAACATCACACACCCTCAAGAAACAATTTATTTCAGGGATTAAATCATTTTTAAGGTGTATGTAAGGTTTTCTAAGAAGCAGTGGATGGAAAAAATAAACATTTCGGGAATATTTAAACCCATGGAGTGTACCTTTAAAGTCATATATTCTTAGAATTAGAACTTTGCCACTGAGTGGTAGCAACAAAAAAGTTCTCTTCAGAGTAGAATTTCTATACAGAAAAAACACCACAAATGCTCTGTAGACATTTTCAATGATTCCAAAATTATTTATAAGAAAGATTGATTATTTTTCCTATTGAAAAGCTCAGTCATTGTCATGTTCATGTGTTTATGTGTGCATCTGTGCATGTATGTATTTATGTATGAATGTATTACATTTAATGCATTGTATGTTTTTTATGCTTATAGTTTTTATGTATGAACAGTGTTTGTGTGTTAATAAATAAAAATGCCACTAAATGGAGATTAGGAGGAAAATTAATAATTAATTATGATTTCTGAATATTGCCCCCCTCCTTTTTTTTTTTTTTGTTTGTTTGTTTGCTGAATCACATCTTTAAGTAACAAAAAAGAGTGTTATTTAATAACTGGCATGGAAACTAAGTGAACCATTTGTTTGTTAGTGTCTGTAAGCAACATTATGCAAAAAGTTTTGGATGGAATAGGAAGAAATTTTCAGAATAAGTTAGTAATGGGCTAGTTTAAAAGTTTTAAGATGTTGGTGATGATCCATTTATTGATTAATGGTTAATTATTAGTTAATTATTTATCTTGGTGGATGTCTGCACTCGCTGAGTCTAGCCGTGTACAATTTTGTTGTACAAGATCATACAGTTATACTGTTGGCTTCAGGTGCTGTTCATGTATGCTTCCTGGAAGAAACCTGCATGTGGTGGACGATAATTGTTGTCAGTGCCATACTGCAGCCATCAAAAAAATTGCTCAAATTCCAAGTGAAGACATTGTATATGCCAGTTTTCATAACAAAGTAGGTTTCTATTTACAAGTTCCCAGCCTCTCAAGTTTCGAGGTTTCTTTTTTGTATTTTTTTTTTTTTGCATGAATTAAAGAAAAAGAAAAGGGTATTTTATATTCTTGTTACATGTAGTTGCATTAGTTTATTCCATTTGTTTGAACTTTATATAAGGGTTTGTAAAAATTTCTTCTTTGAAAAATACATATCAGAATCTTGAAATGATTTGTTATGAACTGCCACTTGTGTAGTTTGCTGTAATGCAGTCATATTTTATATTCAGGTTTATGAAATTCCGTTTTTTGTTGCTCTTGACCATGAATACCAAACAGTGGTGGTTGCAGTAAGAGGAACACTCTCTTTTAGGGTAGGTGGAATGGAAATAACTAGAAAATGACTTTTGCACAGCATAAAACACAGCAGTTATATATAAGCCACTTACATACTCTTATAAAAAAGTCGGGTAAATTAAGTAAGTTACTACATAAAACCAGATGGATAGATTTTTAAACTTTCAATGGCCCTTATATGTACGTACATTACACTATGTTGTTCAAATTTCAGATTTTTGTTATCTCACAAGTTGTTATTAACAACATATAAATACATTGGTGACTTGTGAAAAATCACAGAGAACGAATATATGCACTTTGGAATTGTGTATCATAGCTAGGTAAATTCTTCATTTAATTTGGCAATGAACAGGGTATGATGCTGCAGGGTTTGCTTGTTCTTTGTGGAGATTAAAAAGTGAAATCTCAGTTCATGAAGGATGAGATTTTTTTCCCTACTAACAGCAGATTTTTGACTTTTTGGGAGCCAAAAATATCACTGACCTAGGCAGCCCTCTGGATTCCTCACCATATTTTCTGACTATTTTACTAAATGGCAGTCTCATCCCTGGATTATGTTCACAGGATGTGCTAACTGATCTGACAGCTGAAGATGAAGATGTGGAGGTAGCGGGCTGCCAGGAGACATGTGCACACAGAGGAATGCTACGAGCTGCCCAGTTTGTACAGAAAAAATTAGAGGAAAAAATGATTTTGCTGAAAGCATTTGAAAAAGCTCCAGTAAGTAGTGAAATAAAGTCTGTATAATGTTGCAAGACTTTTTTTAATTCTTAGATTCTTAAAAGAAATTGATTTCTTTTCTTTGTGGTTTAAATGTAAGTTGGTGAACTTGTTGAATAATGAAAGCAGAGACTTAGTGTGATGACATTTTTATTAATTTGTTTTTTTCCATATTGTATTCAGCATACACCTACTTGTATCTCTAGAAATCTACAGGGGGCAATATGTGAGGTGTCATTGTACCACCAGCGTTAGCGCTGGCNGAAATTGCATGTATATATTATTTGAACCGAACAACCATATACTAGTTCTGCTGATAACTATCCTGCTGGTGAATATATGTCTCACTGTGTATGAAATTCATACCAAGAAGATTGAAAGAATATTTGCATTTGATGATAATTGGTATATATCCATACCATCCATAGATTGTTTGGACGAAGATTCTATATAACTTAAACCATGGAGTAAATAATCAAAAAGTCAGTGCCACAAACTTTATTCACCACATTGCTGGATTTTAAGCTGTTGGTACATGTATAAACCTCATACCAAAAGAATTCTAACACACCTAATTTTACCACATCAACTATGATAAGATTGGATGTTGCCATATTGGACAATGTGTGCATATATTTATTTACATTGCTTAGATAATCATACTATTCTTAGTCAATTTTCACATTTCATTATCTGTTCAGGGACTATAGGTTAATGTTATAGTACACCAGGATAGATAAAAAACAACTACATCTGTCCATAATTAATAAATGCATAATGAATATATTTGTTTATGACTATCATTATAAAATTTTTGTGAGATGATATAATAATGATTGGCAGGTCATGATTCTCTGTGATTTAAAGCAGTTTATATTATTGTTAAGTTAAGTTAATTTTTTTTTTTGTATTTTTCATAATGCAACAGTGAAGCATAGATCTACAATACAACTTGTTTACTTAAAGTAAAATTTTAAGTGGATATAACATTATTATTAATATTTTTTTATTTTCAGAATGAGAGTGCTCTGCTGTTGTGTAGGCTGTGATGAAAATAGCAGGGAAGCATTCACTGAAATTGGAAATTTGTTTTCTGGGTTCTTTCAGGTACATTTTTTTCGTTTTTCAAATTGTACATATCCTCTTTGAATATTAACAAAAATATTGTCCTTTATTTTTGAATTTTATTTTCAAATCTTTAAAGTGACTGAATCAGATATGTTAAATGATTGTTTTCTCCTTCAGAATATTGACCTTGTGCCCACTGACATAGCAGCAGGATTGGTGCTGCTCCAAATGCAGCAAGAGCAAGAGGACCTCAGAACCAGCTCTGTGTCTAGCTCCCCAAGGGAGCCAACAGATGGTGAAAGTGACTCATCTTCCCAAGATAGGACATTCCTTAGTCAGCGTGATTCTTCGTCTCGGAAAGAACTTGTGTCTCCCAACAGCATACCAAAAGATTGGATGACTATAGACTTAATGGCACATTATATAAAGTTTGCTCTTGCCAGTTATGGATGGCCCCTTTATATGTTTACTCATCTTTTTACTGGACTCTGCCGTCTTGGGGCAGCTTGGAGGTAAGCTGAAGAGCTTTCAAAAGTGTGCTGTTTTGTTGCTATTATGGTCGATGAGATTGAGGTTTGAGAAAAAGATGGAACCTTCATATTTGTGGCATGTATAATTATTGTATATCAATTGCATTTCCTAGCATATTTTATCCTTTTTTTTTTTCACAATGCATGATAGTCAAATTATGGGTTAATAATTGAACTATACTATATATTATTATAAGCTGTGCAACCACTTTAGTTGGGTACCTCTTTAGTAATAATTAGGCAGTTTATGTAAAAAACAATGCCCTTTCGAATATTTTTGAGAAAAAATTTACAAGACAAAATACAAAATCTAGTTCACTGGCAATTATAACCATTAAAAATCTATATGACAAAGGCAGGAGAATGAGGACCAATTTCTTTTAATTTTCTGAGTTCTTTGACTTTATATTAAATAAAAAAAAACCTCTGACCCTTTTTAAGTGTCACTTTTTATATCTATACAATTTTTAAAAAATCATTGAATATCCAAAATTATATTACATATCAGTTTACACCTAAATCTAATTTTATATTCTTTAATGTGAACAAAAATTCTGTTTTTCTGAAGTGATGAGTGTGATAATTTTTTGCAGCCTTCAGGATAGGCAAAACATTAATCTAATAACTGAGGAATGCTGTATTACATCACGCAATCTGTTATCTGACGAATCAGGCGTAATGTGAGTTTTGAAAACATAGGGAATGTTTTCAGGTAGAAAATAAAAATTAGTATTGATAGGATCTCTAAAATTCCAAGCATTTCCAGTAAAGTAAGTGAAAAAATGTCAAACTAAAAGCACAATTGTTTGTTAAAGATTTAGTCCTTCCCCCTTGCCTGTAACATTTTTCTCATCATTTCGTGTTGTATAGTATCCAGTAATTTTTTCCTGCCATGTGAAATATTTGGAATTTTAGAGATACAAACCCCTTTTTACATTAACTTTCCTTGGCTTAGATTTGCTCATGCCTTCACTGTCATAGGACCGACTACTAATATAGCAAGGGTTATAGAATTAGATTTAGTTTGCCATCCAGTTGTCTTATGCCTATCAATTCGTCCTCCCCCCCCCCCCCCTAAGTGTGCTAGCAAACCTTGAAGGAAAGTTGATGTGTTTTCTTATATTCATTAGAATATCTAAATCTGTCTTATTTTTTCAAGTTTTGAATTCAATTTTGGTTCATAATTTAATGATGATATGGGAAGAAGGCAGTATATTGGTTTGGTTCTGCTTCTGTGGTTGGTTGACATATTTTGCTGCATCTTTTAGAATTTTGTGGTTTACCTTGAAGAGTAAAATATTTGCATATTATAACTTTGCTTCGTATGTATGTATGTATGTATGTATGTATGTATGTATGCATGTATGGCAATAGAGGATTGTATATTTTTACAGATACTGTATTTTAAAAGGTACTAGTAACTCCATCGGCTTTACCCACTAAAATGGTTTTTCCTGGGAAAATTAGCACTTGTTTTCATGAATCATTTCATAATTTATCTGTCTCTCTCAGCACTTGGATTCTACCTTAAATTAAATTTATAAATTTTTATGGCCAGTTATTATAATCTGTGACCATCGTCCTGAGTTCCAGTAGAATTATCAACATCACACACCCTCAAGAAACAATTTATTTCAGGGATTAAATCATTTTTAAGGTGTATGTAAGGTTTTCTAAGAAGCCGTGGATGGAAAAAATAAACATTTGGGGGATATTTAAACCCATGGAGTGTACCTTTAAAGTCATATATTCTTAGAATTAGAACTTTGCCACTGAGTGGTAGCAACAAAAAAAGTTCTCTTCAGAGTAGAATTTCTATACAGAAAAAACACCACAAATGCTCTGTAGACATTTTCAATGATTCCAAAATTATTTATAAGAAAGATTGATTATTTTCCCTATTGAAAAGTTCAGTCATTGTCATGTTCATGTGTTTATGTGTGCATCTGTGCATTTATGTATTTATGTATGAATGTATTACATTTAATGCATTGTATGTTTTTTATGCCTATAGTTTTTATGTATGAACAGTGTTTGTGTGTTAATAAATAAAAATGCCACTAAATGGAGATTAGGAGGAAAATTAATAATTAATTATGATTTCTGAATATTGCCCCCCCTCCTTTTTTTTTTTTTTTTTTTTGTTTGTTTGCTGAATCACATCTTTAAGTAACAAAAAAGAGTGTTATTTAATAACTGGCATGGAAACTAAGTGAACCATTTGTTCATTAGTGTCTGTAAGCAACATTATGCAAAAAGTTTTGGATGGAATAGGAAGAAATTTTCAGAATAAGTTAGTAATGGGCTAGTTTAAAAGTTTTAAGATGTTGGTGATGATCCATTTATTGATTAATGGTTAATTATTAGTTAATTATTTATCTTGGTGGATGTCTGCACTCGCTGAGTCTAGCCGTGTACAATTTTGTTGTACAAGATCATACAGTTATACTGTTGGCTTCAGGTGCTGTTCATGTATGCTTCCTGGAAGAAACCTGCATGTGGTGGACGATAATTGTTGTCAGTGCCATACTGCAGCCATCAAAAAAATTGCTCAAATTCCAAGTGAAGACATTGTATATGCCAGTTTTCATAACAAAGTAGGTTTCTATTTACAAGTTCCCAGCCTCTCAAGTTTCAAGGTTTCTTTTTTGTATTTTTTTTTTTGCATGAATTAAAGAAAAAGAAAAGGGTATTTTATATTCTTGTTACATGTAGTTGCATTAGTTTATTCCATTTGTTTGAACTTTATATAAGGGTTTGTAAAAATTTCTTCTTTGAAAAATACATATCAGAATCTTGAAATGATTTGTTATGAACTGCCACTTGTGTAGTTTGCTGTAATGCAGTCATATTTTACTTTCAGGTTTATGAAATTCCATTTTTTGTTGCTCTTGACCATGAATACCAAACAGTGGTGGTTGCAGTAAGAGGAACACTCTCTTTTAGGGTAGGTGGAATGGAAATAACTAGAAAATGACTTTTGCACAGCATAAAACACAGCAGTTATATATAAGCCAGTTACATACTCTTTAAAAAAAAGTCGGGTAAATTAAGTAAGTTACTACGTAAAACCAGATGGATAGAATTTTAAACTTTCAATGGCTCTTATATGTACGTACATTACACTATGTTGTTCAAATTTCAGATTTTTGTTATCTCACAAGTTGTTATTAACAACATATTAATACATTGGTGACTTGTGAAAAATCACAGAGAACAGATATATGCACTTTGGAATTGTGTATCATAGCTAGGTAAATTCTTCATTTAATTTGGCAATGAACAGGGTTTGATGCTGTAGGGTTGCTTGTTCTTTGTGGAGATTAAAAAAGTGAAATCTCAGTTCATGAAGGATGAGATTTTTTCCCTACTAACAGCAGATTTTTGACTTTTTGGGAGCCAAAAATATCACTGACCTAGGCAGCCCTCTGGATTCCTCACCTGACTATTTTACTAAATGGCAGTCTCATCCCTGGATTATGTTCACAGGATGTGCTAACCGATCTGACAGCTGAAGATGAAGATGTGGAGGTAGCGGGCTGCCAGGAGACATGTGCACACAGAGGAATGCTACGAGCTGCCCAGTTTGTACAGAAAAAATTAGAGGAAAAAATGATTTTGCTGAAAGCATTTGAAAAAGCTCCAGTAAGTAGTGAAATAAAGTCTGTATAATGTTGCAAGACTTTTTTAATTCTTAGATTCTTAAAAGAAATTGATTTCTTTTCTTTGTGGTTTAAATGTAAGTTGGTGAACTTGTTGCATAATGATTGTTTGCCCACTTTGAAAGCAGAGACTTAGTGAGTTGACATTTTTATTAATTTGTTTTTTTTCCATATTGTATTCAGCATACACCACTCTCTAGAAATCTACAGGGGGCAATATGTGAGGTGTCATTATATCATTCTTTTGCAGGATTATAAACTTGTGCTAACTGGACACAGTCTTGGTGCTGGCACAGCAGCTTTACTTGCCATGTTGCTGAGACCCAAGTATCCTGATTTGATGTGCTTCTCATTCTCTCCACCAGGGGGCCTTATGAGGTAAATTAGAGATTGCAGACATTTATGGAAAAAGGAGGTTTCTGGGTTCCTTGATGTAGCAAAAAAGTATAAAAATACAAAAAAAAGTTTCTAATGTTTAATGATATTAGAGAAATGGAAAACTTGAAAGTATTAATTAGTCAGAGTGGTAATGCTTGACAACAAAAATAGCATATTATGTGCACAGTGCTCATGCATGTGCATGCTCACATACCGGTACACACANTTTTGCTTCCCTTTTATCTCCAAAATTGGCAGAGATAGGTCCATAGTTACTATTAAACTTGAATAGGAAGTCATATACTGGCAATTTACTGTGACCTTGAAATTGACCTTTGACCTACCTTACGATGAATTCACTTTGATTGTACCATTTTAAGTTATATATATTTTTTGCATATTTTGAAAATTCTTGTTGATTGCATTTTTACAGCTTGTCAAGCACAAGACTGGTGGCTGTGTCCCTTACTTTGTGTATGTGGGGGTCTATACGAATGCGCTTGCTCCAGCTGGTGGTACAATATTCGGAGACGGTATCGCCTCTCTGATCCTCTAGTTATATCATTCTTTTGCAGGATTATAAACTTGTGCTAACTGGACACAGTCTTGGTGCTGGCACAGCAGCTTTACTTGCCATGTTGCTGAGACCCAAGTATCCTGATTTGATGTGCTTCTCATTCTCTCCACCAGGGGGCCTTATGAGGTAAATTAGAGATTGCAGACATTTATGGAAAAAGGAGGTTTCTGGGTTCCTTGATGTAGCAAAAAAGTATAAAAATACAAAAAAAAGTTTCTAATGTTTAATGATATTAGAGAAATGGAAAACTTGAAAGTATTAATTAGTCAGAGTGGTAATGCTTGACAACAAAAATAGCATATTATGTGCACAGTGCTCATGCATGTGCATGCTCACATACCGGTACACACACACATATACAGTGTAATGTAATCCATCTTTCCTATTTGTAGATATTTTGGCATTATAGTGAATCAACCTGATATTGTGAACACAACCAGGTATTTTAAATCATTTTGTCTTTGTAGTCTTCCATTATCCAAGTACACAGAGGAGTTTATATGTTCAGTGGTGTTGGGCAAGGATGTAGTGCCAAGGTTAGGCATTATGACTATGGAGAAGATGAAAGTTCAGCTACTCCAAGCAATCAGGGACTCAAATAAACCAAAGGTATTTTCAGTTTTCAAAATGAGCAGCCATAACATGAGATTCTATGGTGTTCATATGTGTTGATATATATGCTGAGTCAGCTCAAGTTATTTGCCTGAAAAGAGTTTTTTGATAATTTTAGTCCCATTAAAAGTTGAATTATGTTTGAAATATATTTAATCAAGTCTATATTGCAGCATATTTTTGTATTTAAAGTAACTTTTGCTTAATCTAAATGTGCCTTCTATTGTAGCACCATATATTTGCCAGAGGATGTTGGAATGCATTCTGTAAGAGAGGTGGACAGGCCAATGAGGAGTCCGAGAGACGTCTGCTGGACCAAACTAGTTCTGTCGCTACCTACAGCTCCACTGTTGCCAAAGAAATTGATGTAAAATATATCTCCTTCTCTCTCTCTCTCTCTCTCTCTCTCTCTCTCTCTCTCTCTCACTCACATAGACTGTAAAAAATTAAAATAAAGATAATAATAGATAAAAATAATAATCCTGATTATAATAATTATAATAAACCATGTAATGCCTCTAGATGAATTTTCAAAAATTAATAAATAATTTCCTTCCTATATATGAGATTATTTTCTTTTCTATCCCAATGCTGCTTTTTGAACTTCTGAATCATTAGTCACAACATGAAATTGGAATTGAGGTACTTAATGGCTTATGAACTTTGTGCAATTTGTTATATTGGGACAATGCAAGCAAATATATATTATAAGGCTTTTGTGTGAGCACTGACTCGTAGTGCTAAAATTTATCTTTTGGTGTTTTAAAACATTTAAACATTTATTTTAAAACAGTTGTGTGTGGCAATGCATGCAAAATGCCTGACCTGGTTTTACTTTAAATTGTACAGATTATTTAACTTATTGCATAACAAATTTTTTTCAATTTTTTATCTTCTTTACCATTAATGAGAGAATAAGCCGTATATGATATAGGTAAATATATCTCAAAGAATGACAAAATTTTAAAATACTAAACATAATGTAGTTATTTCATGCATATATCCATGTAGTGCATGCTTGTTTTGTTTTTGAAAGGAAATTTATCAAAAATATGAATGTACCTGACATTTTTATTTCCCCTGTAGGAGGCGCTCCAGGAAGCCATCATGTCTAGTGGGCGCTCCAGGGTCACTAAGAGACATCTTTACCCACCAGGTCAAGTGATGCACATAGTAGAGGCAGAACCAAGCACGTGAGTGATTCCAATATTATTATTATTATTTCAGAGATGAATATAGGATGATTGGTTGAACTGGTTTTGACAAAACCGGTTTTGTCAAATATACTTTAGCTAAAAATATTCCAGCTAAAGGTATTCATAAAGTGAAAATCAAAAATTTTACTCAATAGGTAATTACATTAGCAGATGATTTTTGCAAATTTTATTAGATAAGGAAATTTGATGAAAATGACAGTCATGCATTTACATAAAAAAGCTATTTGATGAAAATTGTATTCTGTGTTGTCTTTTAAAGATAAGTTTGCTTCTTTTCTTCCCTGCAGGGCCTGCTACAGTTTACCCACTTACACATCTTTTTGGAGCAATGCCCAGAATTTCACAGAGGTTTTAGTACACCCAAGAATGGTCCCAGATCACATGCCAGATGCTGTGATGAAAGCTTTAGACCAACTGAAAGAGAAGAAAGAACCTATTTACATGAATGGCAGGCACCATGTTGTTTGTTGATAATAAGAGTATTTGTTGAAAAGATTTAAGCAGATAGTTATGCTTATGTGCCTTTTATTTTGAAAAAAAAATTTTTAAAAATGTTCATAATGAAGAACTGCTGGTCAGAAGAAAGGGGTGAAACATGTACGGGTTATTGGAGGCATGTTTGTATCTACTTTTGGTCATATTTGATGCTGATATTCTGATAGGTTCAGATCTGTGCTAGTAAGTACATGTAGCTTGTTCTCATCTCAAGTCTTTGAATTATTCCCAAAATAACAGTAATAAAAACTGAAGTTGTGACTGAGAATAGCAAGTTTCAGACTGCAGCCGCAGCCCAAACTGTTGACTTCTGTGGGCTTTTAGGTGCTATAGCTTGGGCAGTGCAGTGCCATCAGCAAGTAATGCTGTTGCTGTGATGATTCTAGGCAACTTGGCAATGTGAATGTTTTGCACAAATGTGTCATTAATATTCTCTGTGTTATTGAATTTTTTAAGTGCTAGCAAAGACAGAAAAGTGAAGATCGAATTAGTTTATGTTAAGTATTTCTTGTTATTGTTATTGTTTTCTATGTCTTTATAAATACTGTAACCTCTAGGAAGATGTCCCAAATTTTAAGTCTCAGTTTTCTGCAAGGTGCTTATTATTATCAACTTGAAATAAATATGTTTTAATACTCTTCAAGCAAGAAAAAGACAGTGAACTGGCTAAATAAAACCATGTTACTTGAAGTGAGCTTTATCATCTCTATGGAAAAGAAAGGAGGGAATTATGCGGGTCATATATTATATAAATTCTTCTGTTCTTTGTGCCCAATGTAAGGTAATGTGATCTTGGCAATAAAAACATATTTCCAAAATTGCAAGCATTTGGTCAGCTACCTAACTAGTTTACCCCAATAAGAATAAGTGCTTCATGTTAACATGATAAATGAATATTGTTGGTTATGTTATGTTGATATGTGGGACAATCTCTACCGCACACATGTATGCCTCTGGGTGTCTTAATTCCTTGTTGAATGGTTGAATACGTATCTTTAAATAAAATTAAACAAATGACGTTTCTCGATACCTCTGTCAAGCAGTGACATTTTTCGACCTACATACCGTTGGAAGTTGAGATTTTTATTCAAATGCAATGAAAACTAACCTGAGAACACCGCCATGACCGTCGAACGCAAGCGATTTAAACCAGTTCCACTGAGTATTTTTCTGAAAGATCTTCACCTATCCTTGATGCGTGACATGCGAAAGGCAACCTTGTACCATTGAAAGTGCATTTTGAAAGTTGCTCCCCTTCTGTAAAATTTTATCAATGGTATTTTATCGTTTAAAATGATCATAAGAAAAGGACCTGGCTTTATGTATTCTGACATTATTTATGCAGGAGATTATATGTTTAAAAAGAAGTATCCAAAAAGTATCAAATTGTAATAACCAGTCGGTTTGGTTATTAAGGTTCTTTGACCTCTTTTTCAACAAAAGACAACTGAGGCAGGCAGGAATAGTTTTCTGCTACATGATTTATTCAATCCACTGTACAACTCAGGTCTCTGCTCTCTTTCTCCATCTCTCTCTGTGGTAACTATAACTATGTCTCTAACTCTCTCAGGCTATGTCGCTTCTTTAATACTCTATACTCTGTCTATCATAATTTACATTTCAAATGAACTTCCATAACTGGCATGCAACATGCCATGCCTATATACATTAACTTAATTGTAGATACATTAAAATTAAATCTTGATTTACATTTTAAATGAACTTCTCTTAAACTGCCATGCAACATGTCATGTCCATATACATTTGAATAATTAAAAATTAAACAAATATGCATATCTCATGTATGCAAATTTAGAAGACTATCAGTACTAATTAACGGTACACTACAAAATGCCACATTCCAAATAGCTGGGTGGCTTAGTCCATTATTGCAAAATAAAAGGGGAATGTGGGAGTAATAGAAGAACCAAGATTTTAGGATAAATCGTTAAAGATTTAATTTGCCATACTACCAGTAGGCCTATATATGTATTCGTTTTTGAATAATATCTTAAGTTGGAAAATTTTGAAGTTAAGTGCTTCTTTTCCATTAAAAGTCATTTTTTCTTGTTCTTGTTTCCTACTAATTAAACTCCTCCACGCCACATGAAAAAACTTCGAAGCAGTTCTCATTATGAAGTCGGTTAAGGTTCATTATTTTACTATGAATAAACTAATATATTAGCGGAGCCACAGTCCGTAATTGTAAACAGAATATAAATGTTATGTTCAGCCTACTCGTAACTCAGGATTGTGCAGGATTACCAGTCTTGGGAAAGCGCGAGTGGCGTCAAATGTCCCAGCTGGCTGCCTGCCTACATTGCATTTGTAGACGTAAACGGTAATAAGCTTTCTTGAAGCAAGATAATTTTTATATTCAAACAGGAATTATATCTACTGTGTAGAACTGGAAAAAGTGCCCAAAATTGGCACTGTGACTTTCAATACCATCAAGGAGTTATAACAGAAGGAGATTACACGCGTGGGGGCGGAGCCCGTATTACGGTCTCTCATTGGTCGGAATGAATAGAACCCAGAGAACAATAGATGCCTATCTCTGTTACGCTTAATTGTTGCTCTCGTTTAAATCTCGTTTGTTAGTATCTGTGCCTTCGTCTGTTGATTTTAGNATGTGTTGAAAAGATTTAAGCAGATAGTTATGCTTATGTGCCTTTTATTTTGAAAAAAAAGTTTTTAAAAATGTTCATAATGAAGAACTGCTGGTCAGAAGAAAGGGGTGAAACATGTACGGGTTATTGGAGGCATGTTTATATCTACTTTTGGTCATATTTGATGCTGATATTCTGATAGGTTCAGATCTGTGCTAGTAAGTACATGTAGCTTGTTCTCATCTCAAGTCTTTGAATTATTCCCAAAATAACAGAAATAAAAACTGAAGTTGTGAATGAGAATAGCAAGTTTCAGACTGCAGCCGCAGCCCAAACTGTTGACTTCTGTGGGCTTTTAGGTGCTATAGCTTGGGCAGTGCAGTGCCATCAGCAAGTAATGCTGTTGCTGTGATGATTCTAGGCAACTTGGCAATGTGAATGTTTTGCACAAATGTGTCATTAATATTCTCTGTGTTATTGAATTTTTTAAGTGCTAGCAAAGACAGAAAAGTGAAGATCGAATTAGTTTATGTTAAGTATTTCTTGTTATTGTTATTGTTTTCTATGTCTTTATAAATACTGTAACCTCTAGGAAGATGTCCCAAATTTTAAGTCTCAGTTTTCTGCAAGGTGCTTATTATTATCAACTTGAAATAAATATGTTTTAATACTCTTCAAGCAAGATTGTAAGAAAAAGACAGTGAACTGGCTAAATAAAACCATGTTACTTGAAGTGAGCTTTATCATCTCTATATAAAAGAAAGGAGGGATCGATCGAATTGTGCGGGTCATATATTATATAAATTCTTCTGTTCTTTTTGCCCAATGAGAATGTGAGGTAATGTGATCTTGGCAATAAAAACATATTTCTAAAATTGCAAGCATTTGGTCAGCTACCTAACTAGTTTACCCCAATAAGAATAAGTGCTTCATGTTAACATGATAAATGAATGTTGTTGGTTATGTTATGTTGATGTGTGGGACAATCTCTACCGCACACGTCTGCCTCTGGGTGTCTTGCCTTGTTGAATGGTTGAAAAGGTATCTTTAAATAAAATTAAACAAATTACATTTCTCGATACCTCTGTCAAGCAGTGAAAATTCTCTGTGGTAACTATAACTATGTCTCTAACTCTCTCAGGCTATGTCGCTTCTTTTATACTCTATCATAATTTACATTTCAAATGAACTTCCATAACTGGCATGCAACATGGATGATGCCATGCCTATATACATTAACTTAATTGTAGATACATTAAAATTAAATTTTGATTTACATTTTCAATAAACTTCTCTTAAACTGCCATGCAACATGTCATGTCTATATAGGCCTACATTTGAATAATTAAAACTTAAACAAATATGCATATCTCATGTATGCAAATTTAGAAGACCATCAGTAGGCCTAGGCCTACTAATTAACGGTTCACTACAAAATGCCACATTCCAAATAGCTAGGTGGCTTAGTCCGTTATTGCAAAATAAAAGGGGAGTGTGGGAGTAATAGAAAAACCAAGATTTTAGGATAAATCGTTAAAGATTTCATTTGCCATAGTACCTATATGAATTCGTTTTTGAATAATATCTTAAGGAGTACGTACGGATAAAATTTAGTCCCAAAATATTACACGTCCCTATACTCCCGTTACCGATAGATACATAAAAACTGAAAAAAACGTCTTTTTAAATTTAAATACAGATAGATCCGATTTTTTACCACCGTCCCATATATTTGCGTTCCGACGTCCTCATAAACCCACGTCCTTTAAATCCGCATACCTACAGATCCACGTATTTTTAGATCCAAATACCGATAGATCCATTACAGGTACATGTACACTATTGCTCAGTATATTACTCAGTACATAAAATGCACTTTTTTAAAACGACAGTACACTTATTAAATCTTTCAGCAATTTATTATTCTACTAGATCGTTTTTACGCAATACTCGGGTAATTTACATTAGGCCTACTAATGCATTATCTGACAGAAATTTATGATTTCACTAGATGTTTTGTTATTTTCATGTTACATTCATTTAGTTTTGATTACGAAGGCTTTTGACAGGAACCTAAGATTATATATTTATTTCGTAGCGATTAATCCCAGAAAACACACACACACACACACACACACACATACACACACACACACCACCCCGTCAATTAAGAACTCGGAGGGCAAAAGTTGATGAAATAATGTTAAAGAGTTTTACAAGTAAACCCTTCTTATTTTATACTGTGTATGATTTATTTGGGCATTTCATGAATGATTCTGCCTGATAACTGTCTTGTACTTGATAGAAACCATTACTGTATAGTTGACAAACATTACCCAAAGTTGGCAGGCAAAAATCGGCGTTATTTACGCCTGCATATATACAGAAGTTATTTACATCTTGGACATAATAACAAAGTTATGTCGTTATTGTGTCCAAGTAGTTTACATTGATGAAGTTACGTGCGTAGGCCTACATTGCAGAATGGAGTAGGCCTAAAAGGCAGTAAACGATAGTAAATGGTAGACGTGTAGTCGCGAACGTAGGCTACACGTATGTCTTGTTTGAAAACCTAATAAATAAATAAATAAATAAATAAATAAATAAATAAATAAATAAATATCAGGTTGTAATCAAGTCAGATCACTAAGTGGGTCAGTACTCACAGCCAGACTACAGTACATGTATCACTCGAAAGCCTCATACCTGTATCTCAAGTAGATATCGGAATTTAGCCGATTACGATGTCAGATAGATGGATCTAGCGGTACCTGGATCTAAAGATATGTGGGTTTATAGGAATCTGTTGGTGGATCTATCAGAACGTAAATTTAACGAGACGTAAATCTATTGAGACGTGTATGTATAGAGACGTATCTATCGGGACGAATATTTTATTGGGACGTTTATCTATATGGCGGACCCCATCTTAAGTTGGAAAATTTTGAAGTTTAGTGCTTCTTTTCCATTAAGTCATTTTTTTCTTGTTCTTGTTTCCTACTAATTAAACTCCTCCACACCACATGAAAAAACTTCGAAGCAGTTCTCATTATAAAGTCGGTTAAGGTTCATTATTTTACTATGAATAAACAACAAACTATATTAGCAGAGCCACAGTCCGTTATGGTAAACAGAATATAAATGTTATGTTCAGTCTACTCGTAACTCAGGATTACAAGTGCAGGATTACCAGTCTTGGGAAAGCGCGAGTGGCGTCAAATGTCCCAGCTGGCTGCCTGCCTAC